AATGTTGGACCCCATCGGCCCTCCGCACGCCCCGCCGCCGGCTCTGACTGACAGCCCCCCCTGCCGTCCGAAAGCCGTAATATCGTCATCACTCAGCATGATCTTGATGGTTGCGCAGTGCTGGGCAGCGATGATGTGTGCCCTTCTCGTTATGTATAAGCAACTGCCACCTGTCTTAATTCTTGCTTATCCAACAAGTAGCAGATCAGTACATACGCAGCGGCAAAGCATATGTTTTCAACAGAGCGCTGGTCAAGCCAGTGCACTGGTAAGACAGGATGACATACCGCACACGAAAGCCAGAATTGTGGTGGGATTGCAAAGTTAGGGGTCAGCAGGGAGCTTGTCACATCAAATTTGCTCCTCAAGACTGCACAGGATTTTTTTCGCGTTGTTGTACTGGCAGAAGTGTCAACTGGAAGCTGTACAAAGGATTGCTGCACCCTCATTTTCACAAGACCAAGACGATAACAAGGTCACGGTTCGCGTACCTAATTTCTCAAGTTAAATCCATATTTACATCACATGCCAAACATCAAATTACTTACACTTACGTCCATACACCACTGCTCCCAAATGTACAGAGGTGCATACTTCGGCTTGATAGGTCTACACTACCAGTGCAACCGATGCCTGCAAAGCCACAACACAGCGGAGGCACTACCTTGAATCAACGCTAGTGTACAAGCGATGCTCGACGCAAGCATGAGTATGTACAACCCACCCACTTGAATTGCCAGCAAACAGTACCGTATCACGAAAACCACCCTCCAATGCGAGGAGCAGATGCGCGACAACAATAACAACATACATCCCCTTGAAACAACCAAGGTTGGCCATATCATCAACTCAGCATTCAACCATACTTCTTGAATGCGTCGGTCAGTCACAGAGAGATCTGCAAGAACCGCAGCAGCTCACGCATCACCACATGACCGCCACTACCTTCGTCCGCAGCCCTGCCTGCCAGTCACACCTACCAAGAGCACCGCTCCTGCAGCAAAACATTGCTCATTCCCACTTGCTCCTGTTCGCCTCCTTGCGTGCCGCCTGGCGCCGCTCATTCTCCTCAGCCAGGATGTACCACAGAGAGCCGTCGTACTGTTCAACGGATGGTGAGCAATTCGGGAAGATCACATGTCATCAATAACATCCTCTGTACAAACAACACCCCCACTAACTCAGCCAAGCTTGGCTCAGCCAATCGACACCCTTGAAAGTGTACTTCGGCCAGACAATGCTTGCGACACCCCACTGCAGACACAAGCAATTCGAGCAGGACCAATCAACACCAAGAGCCTGCAGCCACAATTATGAGTTTTGTTACGTGGTTTCAACAAACGTTCAGGTTTTCACCCACATAGTCACAGGCTCAACGCACCTGGGCGCGGATCTTCTCGCGGGAGATGACGCCGTCGTCGTCAGCACACAGCAGCCACAGCGCCCACCACTCGAGGCGCTCAGCCGTCCTGGGATAGGCGGGCGGCACGCACAGACAGGTGTGGAACACCTGTTCCAGGGGGACAATCTGGCGATACAAATCGCAGCCTGCGCCTGGCTGCAGAGAGCGCAAAGTAACGTGCATTAGGTCACTGATCACTGCAAATAACCCAAATCTACTCACCAGCCAACAGGGTCCACGATGTTCATGTTCTGCAGTGTTGGTTGCGAGGAGGGCAGGGATATCCTGTAACATCCACTTGCCAGGGGCACTTGATACGCAGCATACAAACAGGCAGTCAAAACACGAGTGGTCATACGCAAACAAAACAGACGGCTAGCTGCAATACAATACTCCACAAATGGCACACAATTAGGGCTGCTTTAGCTGCCCACTCGACAGAGCTCACCCCCTTGATCATCTCCTGGATGTCGTTCCAGTTCAGCCCGCCCTTGTTGTCGCGGTCATACTGAAGAGGGGCAGGTAACAAGCGCACGGGTGCAGAGACTCAACAAATTTGCTGAATGCTGTGCAACACAGGAAAACACACCCGTTCACACAGCCCTGAAATGCTCAGACCGCTGTGCTTGGTAGCACGCGCATGTTATTGGCGCTGCTGGCGCTGCTGTCAAGACAGCAGGTGTGGAGTACAAAGCGTGCTGCCCATCGTGGACGCATGATGCGCGGTTCCCCACCCCTCACCCACCTTGCTGAACAGCTCCTCGTACTTCTCAGGCACGTAGCGCCCCTCAGTGTCGTACACCTCTGGGTGCGCGGCGAGGACACCAAGTGGGATACACGGGCAAGAATTGCAGGGCATCAGCGGCCGTTGCCAGCGCCAGCAGGCGTGACCAAGGCGTGCAAGCGGGTGGTTTGCTGGGGTGCACCACAGTCCTGCCACAGCCCAGATCAAACGTTGTGCCCAAAAATCCAATCTGCAACATATGCAGTGCACCCACTTGCACGCCTGTGTCTAGTGACAGAAGTCCCATGGCAACCTCTCACAACACAAATTCGTAGTGCTGCTCACCCGAGTCGCTGCCGTGCTTTGCCTTGTGCATGTTCTTGATGTGGATCCTGAAGAATGGGTCGGGAATCCACGACAGCCCGGTCGGCTGCAAGGGAAGGACACATGCAGGTTTGTTGCCCACGGGGGTCAAGAGAGGGGCACATCCAGGGGTGGTGGGGATGCAGGCTTGGCTCAGGAAAGCACAGCTGTGAGTTTGCAACCAAGGTAGGCTGGTGCAAGCCGGGCCCGCACCGACTGAAACCGCCAGCTCAACCCAAAGCGTGCGGCAGGCAGTCTTCAAACTCGCAGCGTCCCCTCTGCCCCGTGGTGCTCACATATGAGAAGGAGCCGTGAATGAAGGGCACGGCCAGGAACGAGATGATGCGGTTGAACCCGATGCGGCGGAACCCGACGTACGTGTCCATGGGCCACAGCACGCCGTCATTGTCGCGATCGAAGAAGGCCACGTGCTGTTGGCGGCAGCAAAGGGTGGGGTGTCAGCTCAGTGCAGTGTTAAGAATGTTGATGAAGCAAGCGCACAGAATGGAGCTTGAGGTTTGGATTTGCTGGCTGGTCCTTTGACCCACAGCAGCAGCTGCGGCGCCACACGTATTATTGACCCCCGCCAAGAAGGCAAGAATACGTGCCTGCTGCATGACAGAGTAGTCCTCGCGGGCCAGGCTGGCAGGGCTGCCCTCTGGGCGCTCGCGCGACACCGCCTTGTTGGCGCGCGGCACGCCTGCGGGCGGGCGAGGGGAAGGTGGTGTGCATATAGGCGGCGCAGGTGTGTGAGGCCGTGAGGGGGGCGCCGCAGGGGAGAGATGACGTCGGCAAGCAAGCAGGGACAACAGGGGCCGATACCAGGCATAGTGAGCTGCAGCAACACACCAGTGATCTACGAAGAAGAACAAGCACGCGGGCATTGATCGCCAACAACCGAGGGTGACAACGCAGGCGACGCGTGCCTTCCGTCACCCGCGCACCGCCGTGTGCGCAGTGCAGGGCGCACGCAACCAGACCCCACCTGGCTCGTTGATGTCCTTCTCCAGGCCCAGGGGTGCCCTGCGGTCCTGGGTCACAGGCACCGTGGGGATCGAGGACACGACATCAGGCGCCATCCTTGCTGGCGAGGCCTTAGACTGGAGCTCAGTGGGACGTGAAGGTGGCGTGGTGCTCTTCTTTTGAGCGTTTGCCTGAACGGACTTCGTTTGATGCTGTGACTTCTTCATTGCGTCGTCGATTGGGATCGTGCGTGGGAGGGCACCTAACATGCCCTTGCGAATCGTGTGTCACGAGGAAGCGTGACCGAGCCGCGGCCCCAAGCGTCATGTGAATGCCGAGCCATTGCGCGATCGTAACACACGATTCAAGTATCGGATGCGTTGGACTGGCAACAAGCCTAATGCTGATGCCCGGCACTTGTAGGCCGCCATGGCGTGGACCAGGTGGACAGCATGAGTCGCAACCCTTGGTCGCCCTAAATGCGCAGTGCTGCTCAACCTGGGCCCGATTTCATAGTCTCGCGCCCGCTGCTGCCAAGCGCCCGCTGCTGCGCGCTCTTCCGTGTGTGGCTTTACACATGAGGCGTGCGCCTGCACGCGGCGCGCATTGCCACGCTTGTGTGCTCGCAGCACTGCTCACTGGGTGCAGCGGGGCCCACGTGGGAACGCCGCAGCTGCCGCTCGCTCCAATAAGGGGGAGTGAAACGCGTTCAACTATCTCGTCAAGCAAAGGAGCACTGCATATTATCAAACCGGAAGTCGAAGCTGGATCCAAAGGGGGTGGCACTGCGTTCGCGCCGCCGCGCCTGCCCGCAAGGGACGCTTCAGGTGTGTGCTGGCACGCGGGGCGCGCGCGGACGGGATGAGGGGCGCGGCCCTGCCCGCCAGCGCGTCCGACGGCGTAAAGTGCACGCGTGGAGCGGCGCGGCGGCGCGCCCTGCTGTGCGCTGTATGCGGCGCCAGCTCAGCGTCGCGCGCCGTGGCGTTCGCGTGATGTTCACTTCTTGACGGCGCCGCCGGTGGTGGGGAGGCCGGAGTAGACCTTAAATGCGTCGTAGATGCCTGATGGTAGTTGGGGTTGCATTCACATGCGTGTGTGAATGTGTGTGTGTGTGTGTGTGTGTGTGTGTGTGCGCGCGCGCGCACGCTTGGGGGCCAATTTTGTTTGCGACGATGCGCGACGTGGCAGAGGAACGGAGGGACAACTCAGTAATCCAAGCTTTGAAGGGGCAGCAGGGTGCCGGCCGCCACCGCAACCAATCCACACTACCAACACCGCGCGGCTGCCCAGTGCGGCCGGGTGCTCACCCCACTGCAGGCCGGTGAGCGTGCCGACCATGATGATGCGCAGGGGCAGGCCGCGGGTGAACAGGTTGAACCAGCCCATCTGGGGGGGAGTGGGGGTGGGCCAGGGGCCCGGGGCGAGGGGTGAGCGGCGGCGCGGAGGTGTCAGGATGCGTGATGCCGGCCAGGAGGCAGCCGCTCCAACGGCCGCGCCTCCAGCTGGCCCTGCTGCGATCGCAGACGGCCGCGGGGCCACAGGACCGTAGGCTGAGCAGCGAAGCACATCCCCAGCGGCAGCAGCTGCGCGTGGGTGGGCACACGCGCACGCACGCTTACAAACGCACGTCCGCGCTGCCCCACGCGCCTGCTTGACGATGTCGCCGACGGTGGCGCCCTTCTGCGCGTTGAGCTTGGACACGAGGTTGTCAGCAGGGTGGGACACGGCCGCGCAGAACACGCCTGCAGGGGAGGGCGGGCGGAGACCAGCCCGAGGAGAGCGAGCAGGTGAAGGCCGCTGCAGCAAAATTGGCGGCGCTGCGGTCCGCAGGAGCAGGGCAGTCTTCAAAGGGCACAGTTGCCCAGCCGTGAGGGGCGCCACCATTCCCGCTGCCTCTGTAATGAGGGGCCGTTCCACCGGTAGAGCGCGCCGCGCCGCGCTCACCGGCAATGTAGCCGGCCGCGAAGGACACGCCGAGCTGCTCGCCCTTGGAGCACTCCTCCCGCGGCTTGGGCACGACGTGCTTGTACAGCGCCACCACCGTGTTCTCGAACGCACCTGGAGCCAGGGGGCACGCGTGCGCATGCAGTCGTCAGGCACGCAGTCATCACCCGCCTCCGCCGTTTGTTGTGTCAAGTGTGACTCAAGTAACATAGCGGGCACCTGGCGTCGCTGCTGCCCTGCATCGCGTTGCTGTGTCTTCACGCTGGTCCCGCTGCTGTGTGTTGACCCAGGGGCAACCCACCGAACTTCATCATGGTGTAGGGGATCTGGCGGCCCCACAGCGGCACCAGGGACTTGAAGAGCCTGCAGCCACGACGCAAAGGCAACTCAGTGCTCCCACCCAAGGCACACCGCCCGCAACCGTCTGCCGCCTCAGACTGCCTCCATGCTCCCGTGGTGGGCAGGCCCCTGCTGTTGCATCCGGCACGACTCCACACCCGCGAGCCCCTCACACCGCCACCAATGCTGCTGCCTGTCCCAGATTCCCCGCGGCCGCTCACGAGCCAAAGCCGTCCTGCGCAATGATCTTTGGCATGCCGTCCGTCAGGCCCTTGGCAAAGCCAGGGCGCGTCTGGACCGCCACCTGTGGCGGAGCAGGTGTGGGCGCAGCGTGCGGTGCGAAAGGTTGTGAGCTGCAGTTGTGGTGAGGGAGGACTACAGCCGGTGTGCTCTCATGCACGCGGCAACAATGGAGGAAATGCATGATTGCGTGTTGTCATGCTAAGGGAGGGGTTGGGCACCAGCAGGTCCAGGCGCGTCCCAAACTGTGCTGGCACACCTTGACAAGAATGTGGCACATGCCTGGCTGCTGTGCCTGAGCTTACTTGGCGCTGTGCCGCCGCTACGGCTGCATGTGGCACAAGTGCAGGCCAGCACCCAAGCATGCATGTTTCGGCCGCAAGACACGCCCCTTCCTTTCAACCGCCTCAACGTCGCCCGCCTCAACAAGCCGCCAATTGGCCCAGACACAGCAGGCAACACACACACACACACACACACACACACACACAAACCGCTGCTCGCACAAGTTGCAACACATATGCATCAACATCGCGGTGCGTGCGCTTACATAACCGTGCGCAGCCCCAACGCTTGCAGGCTCCACCTCCTCCCCCCCCCCCAACACACACACACACACACACACACCTTGACGGCCTCAAAGGGCGAGAGGGCGATGTCCGCGAAGAACTCGGCGCTCGCGCTACCCGCCAGGAACACGATGGTGCCGTAGTCCTTCATGATGTCCTCACCCAGCTTGTCGGCGTACGTCCTGGGGGCAACAGGGGGAATGGGCGCGACAGGTCGTGTGGTGCGAGGGAGTGTGGGTGCCAGGGACGGCAGCAGTTGCTGGCGGCAAGGGCGGTGCGGGCCCGCGCAATGAGTTGCGGCATGCTGCGAAGCTCTTTGCTGAGGTGCTGGGTTTTGATGTGCTGGTGGCTGGTTGACCCCAGCCGCCCAGGAACAAAGCACACCGCCCTGGCTCGGGCCGGCAGCACAACTGCGGAGGCCTGACTCGCCACATCAGTCAACACCGTGACGATCCCGCCGCCGGGCCAGCGCGCGGCACGCTCACTGCACGCCACCAGCCAGCTGCTGTAATGTATGCTGCTGTGCTATGATGATAAGATACCCTATGTTCAGCCCCTCTGCTCACTTCTTGAAGTACTCGTAGAGGCCGAACTTGAAAGCACCCTGGGCCGAGTAGCCCAGAAGCGTCGGCAGCCAGCCGCGCATGAGGCCAGCGGGGCCCTGCTCCTTGAGGACGACCGCGAAGCCCGATCGGATGCCCTTGTACTTGGCGGGGTCTGTCTGCATGTTGCACTTGACCACGTCGAGCGGCGTGACGGCGGTGTGCGTGAGGCCGCAGCTGGCGATACCGCCGATCGCGCACGTGTAGTAGTACTCGGGCGAGTACATCTTGATCTTGCCGGGCTCCGAGGGCGCAGCAGCCACGACCTTGCCCGCTGCGGGGCTATTTATCGCTGCGGCCACAGCCGAAGGCAAGCTGAAAGCCTGCTGCTTGAGGCGCTGCTGCTCCTGCTGCTCCTGAGCAGGCTGCATGGTGGCCAGAGCCGCCGAAAAGGTTCCGAAGACCGGCGCCATGGTGCTGACTGCTCGGGGTAAGGGTTCCTTGGGTGCGCAGATCTAGGTGCAGCCCGCGCTGAACAGCAGGAGCAAGAGGCACCGAGCGAGACGTCCAGGCTCGATTGGAACAACAACTTCTCACAACTCGTTCCTGTTGAGGCCAGGGCAGAGCAAGCAAACAGGCGGCGAGCGAAGCTGCTGCACCCCTGTGAAAGGATTCGGTTGTTCAAAGGGTGCCAAGAAGAGTGGACGAGTGCGTCCAGTCAGCGCACTCTGTTGTGACGTACAGATAATTTTCGGCGCATGCACGAACGAGGGCGGGGCGCGGGATGCCCGGGATCTGCGCGGCCAGCAAGATCAACAACATAATGGGGAAAATATCCTCTCGGCACGATGGAGGCGCGCAATCCCGCTGACGTCCCGATGATGAACAACGTCAACGTCAGCACGTCACACTCTGCGCCCTGTGGCACGACACCCGCGCATTGCTGCGCGCGACTGTCACCGCGCGCCACCGCTGCGCGATGAGCAGCCCGCCGGACGCATTCCAGAAGCTGCTGCGCGCCTCTCAGCGGCAAGGCTCGGCATCGCAGGCGTCGCAGGCAACAAAAGGCACGCCAGCCCTCAAGAGGCCACGCGTTGAACAGCAGTACGGCACATGCCCTGTCTGCAGGTGCGTGGCGGCCCAGCACGTGGTTTCAGAGTGCATCCGCGATTGGACCAGAGGTTGCAACACTGGCGCAGCTGCCGGGCGCTCGGCTGCACCCGCCTGTCCCCTTTGCCATTCGAACTTGCATCATGGCGTTGATATTTATCTCAGCCTCCCACCTGCCCCACTCCCTCGCAGCGCCACTGTGCCGCTGACATTCCTGGAGCTGCATGCCTCCGACTGCTTGGGGCCAGGCGCCTCTCAGCCCTCAGCAGCAGCGGCGGCCGGCAAGCGCGCGGCCGGCGGGACGCCTGGCAGTGCTGGCGGTGGAGGCCGCAGTCTTGCAGGCAGCGGCGTCGGGCGCACCCGGGGCGGCAGGGGCGGCCCCGGCTCCGCCGTCACGCCGGCGCCGCGGACCCCCAACCCCGGGTTGCGCGCGCCGCCTTTCACACCAGCCACCCCCGCGGCGGCGCCTGCGCAGCAGCAGCAGCAGCAGCAACAACAACAACACCAGCAGCAGCAGCAGCAGCACCAGCACCAGCAGCAGGAGCGGCAGCAGCCGGCTTCGCCTGGGGAAACCGACCGTGCGCTCGACGACGGCGCGGGCCACAGCCCGTCCCAAGCGGCCACAGCTGCCCCGGACGCGTCCACCCAGCGCAACGCATTCGATGTGCTGGCTCGCGCCCAAAGGGTCCTGCAGCAGGTGCACGTCTTCTTCCTTGATGCACCCCCTGCCGGCGGCCGCCCCCGCGCGCGCTGGTGGCTCAAGGGCGGCCCAGACGCGCCCCGCGACGCGCCCGACGCTGCGTGGACCGGGTCTTGCGGCCTGAGCCTGGGGCGCGGCGGCAAGGCGCAGGTGGTGATCGCAACGGATCTGGAGACTGGCGATGGCGTGGAGGTTGGCTGGGGCAACCCGGCCCTGGCGAGCAACCCCGGAGGCGGCGCTAGCAGCGGGGACGGCGGGGGAGCGGGTGCAGGCGCGGCGGCGCAGGCGGGGGCGCCCGGCGCGGGCGGCGAGCCGCGCAAGGCGGTGGTGAGCCTGCTGAAGAGCGCGCTGCAGAAGAACGTGCGGCTGGGGCGCCACGAGCAGGCGGTCAGGTGCGGCGCCGGGGCGCTGGGGAGCGGGGCCGGGCTTGGACCCGGCAGCAAGGCATCTGGACAACGCTCAGCTGGCTGAGTGGCCGCAGGATCTCTGCGCTCGTGTGTATGTGTGCGTGTCTGTGTGTGTATCTGGGTTTTTGTGTCTGTTTCTGTGCGTCTGTGCGTGTGTGTGTGTCTGTGTATGTGTGTGTGCGTGTGTGCATGTGTCTGTCTGTCTGTCTGTGCGCATGCACATACCTCACGTGCAGCACCCATGGTTCCACAACAACAATCCGTTGCCCGACGACGCGCCCATGGGTGAAGGGCCCTGTGACTGATCGAATGATGTCACCGCCGTGCTCAAATCCAGGGTGGCCGCTGCGTTGCTGAAGGAGGATGCAGGGGAGCTGCTGCGGCGCCTGGCGGTGATCTGCTTGGAGGATGGTCTGCTGCACCCGCAGCTGCCGCTTGTCTGCTGGTGCATGGCCGCGGTGGTGAGGGACTTGGCCGCCGCTGCAGCCGTGCCGCTCGCGCACGCCCAGGCGCTTGCAAGTGGTCGTGGCAGGGCAGAAACGCGCTGTTCTACCGCATTAAAACACGTTGCTGCTGCGTGCGCTGGGGCTGGTTGAGGGAAGGCGCCCTTGTCTCCCGTGTCGCGCGCCGCTGCATCCTTCAGGGTTCGCGTCCCCCAAGCCACCTTGACCCTTCCTTTTAAGACTGCCACAACACCCCTCCCTCACGCAACGCTCAGTCCAAGGGCTACCTCGTGGGTGGCACCCTGGCCAACGAGCTGCTGGCGGTGGTGCAGCAGCTGGCGGCCTGCCCTGTCAGGGACCACCTACCACGCAACACTGGTGCGCCCCTGACGTGCACGCATTCGGCCCACCGCGGCGAGTGATGGCGGGGGCTGTCGCAGCCGCCGCCCATGGGCACCGGCCGAGCAGGGTGCACACGTACCCCACCGCGTGCTGCTACTGACTCAGCAGCCGTCGGCTGTGCTGGACCAGCGACGGCGAACGCCCCCCGATGCACCCCGGACCCCGCCACCGCCCGCCTGCCCGGCCGTCTCCCTCCCCCCGAAAACGAATTCCGGGCCGCAGGCACGTGGCGCACCCCGGCCAGCCTGTCCGACGTTGACGGGCAGCTGCCCGCCCACCCCGCGGAGGGTGCGCTGGTGAAGGCGCTGATGCTGCGCAACGCGTTTGGGGGCATGGACTCCGACAAGGACCTGCTCACGCGCTATGCGGGGCTGTGGCTGGCGCGCTTCCTCGGGCTCGCCGCGCCGCCGCCGCCGCTGCCGGCGCCGCCGGCGCAGGAGCAGGCAGGATCGGATCCCCCCAAGCAGCAGCAGCAGCAGCAGCAGCAGCAAGGCGTCAGCGGCGGTGGCGCCGGGGGCGGCGGCGCGAGCCCCTGGCTTTCATTCCTGTCGGAGTGCTACAGCCCCGCACGGCTGCCGCCGGGCGTGCGTGCGCCGCGCGTGACGCTCGTGGCGCCGCTCCAGCGGTGAGCCAGCCTGGACGCCTGGCTTGCCTGGGATATACAGACGGCGGCCGCAGCACCAGGCCCGTTTTGCTCACGCGCTGCCTTGCGACCACCATACCAATGGTGTCGCTTGATGGATGTCACTCGATTGGTTTGACTCTGCGCGATCCCTGCGCTCCAACCGTGTTGAAGAACAGCCGCGGCATGCAGGTCCATCAATCCGCCTCTATGCGTCTCAAGGTCCCCCCCCCACACGCACACACACGTACGAACGCGCGCGCGCGCGCGCACACACACACACACACACACACACACACACACACATACCCACACATAACCACACACACACACACGCACACACACCCCCACACACACACACAAATTTACACGCTACTTTACCCTGATAGGGACGACGTCCCCCTGTCGGCGCTGGACCACCACATATCAGACCTGGTGCCCTTCCTGCTGCGCCAGTCCGACGTGCAGGCCGTGCTGGCCGCCATCACGCGCGGCTGCTGGTGTGCCAACCGCGCTGCTAGGTCCCTGTCGGGTCGCGCGTGCGTGCTGTGTGCTTTGCAGCGCCATGGCAGACGTCGCCCGCCGCGCGCGTGCACGCAGTGATCGCCTCGACAGTCTCACCCTTCCGTTTGACCGGTCATGGAGGCGTGAGCCTTGGCATATGAAGGGCCCCCACCCCCTCCAACGCGTCCATTCGACCCAGGGGCCACGAGGCGGATCGGCGGCAGCTCGTTGAGCGCTGCATGTGCGTGGGCTGGGAGCCCATTTATCAGATGCCTGTATCAGCTAGTGGTTGTCCCCTGCGGTGTTGCAGGGGTGCATGCCATGTAGTGCTTTGGCTGCCTGCTTGGTGCCGGCACGTGTCCTGTTCCCGCCGTCCTCTTGCTCTCACACCAAGCGTCCTGATCGTTGCCTGTGCCGGCATCCTGGCCCATCCACTGCAGCTGGGCGTTCCGCAGTGGCGTCAACACCAAGCGCTGGCTCCTGCTGCTGCATGATGATGCAAGGGAGCCGCGCGGGGCTGCTAAGGCCAGCGCCCGCGGCGACTTGCAGGAGGTCCATGGCCAAAATGGACCTGGCGGCAGCGAAGGGCCCGTGGCACCGCAGCATCACCACCACCACCACCAGCAGCAGCAGCATGGGCCCAGCAGCGATCCGGCTGGTGGCCAGGCACAGCCGCGGCAGGACATGCCACCACAGCTTGAGCAGGAGCAGCGGCAGCAGCAGCCACATCAGCAGCAGCAACTTGAAGACCACCAGCAGCCGCAGCAGCAAGGAGGCCACGAGGAGAGGTTGCAGTGCAAGCAGAGTCAGCGGCAGGAGCAGATACCTGCCGTGATGAGTGAGGACGGGCCAACATCCGCCCAGCTGTCACAACCGCAGCAGGAGCAGGCGCAGCACGTGCCGGCGGCAGCAAGTGAGGGCGCCCCCGAGGCCGTTTGCACGTCTCAACGGCAGCAGCACGTACAGGAACAGCAGCAGCAACAGCAGCAGCAACAGCAGCAGCAAGAGCAACAGCAGCAACAGCAGGACCCCGCCAGTGCACCCCGTGGCGTGACGGCGCTGTCGCTGGAGCGGTACCAGCTGGATTACGATGCAGAAACAGAGGAGGCGGAGCGCACGCGGCTCGCGACGCTTTGGGGCGTGGTGGCGGGCCCCGCGGACCGCTACAGCACCGCTAAAATAATGGAGCGCCTGTTCTGCGTTTTCGAGGCAGCGAAGTAGTGTCGCCGCCTTGATGCACCCGGCCTCCTGCCGGGTGGTTTACAGAGATCAAGAACTGGTGTACAGTACGGTAGTCTGATGCAGTGCATGTTTACAATGCGACTTGTGCACATGTAAACTTTTGTGAATTACATCTGGAAATCGGGAGAAACTTGGTCAAAGTCGCAGCTTAGTGGAAGTCACCGCTTCATGGAAGTGGGAAGTATGTGAAACTGCCGCCGCAATGCAGCAAGGGCGTGTAAGGGGTGCCCCAGCGACACACTTCCAAAGAAGCCTCGTGATTCTGACAGTCATGCAACAACAAACAAAAAGGTCAGGCCAAATGCTGCCAAAGGGACGGTAACATAAGCCTGGAGAAACATGCTGGATGGAACGAAGTGTGCTTAGCAGGTTTGCAGGGGGGGGTCGCTGCGCGTCTGCCACTGGGCAGGCTCGCGATCGCCCCGCACCACACTCAAACGGCAATGCTTTGATGCACACCTCTCGGCGCGCCTGCATGCTGCAGCCCACGTGCCAAGCAACATGACGCGATGCAGCTGCACGCTCAAATCCATGAGTCGCTCAATTGACAGTCTGTGCATTGACTGGGTCGCCTTTGGCGGCATCGCCGCTGACTAGGTCACTATGGCAAGATCATGCTGGCTGCTGCAATGCGGCTGCATCACATGGACGCGCCATGGTACATGCCTGCAAGGAATCCAATTCCAAACAGCATCGCCGCCCACCCAAGCTGAACAGCCATCCTCCGCAGCCCCGCGAGGCGCCGCCCCATGCGCCCCGGCGGCTGCTGCGCGCGCAGGAGGCTGTGCAGCAGCCGGCGCCGGTGCTTGGGGCGCTCGGGCGTCACGAGGTGGCTGGCGGCGGCACGCTCGCGCTCCGGCAGGCCGGACACCAGCAGGCGGGAGTCTGGCAGGTGGAGGCGGACGGCCTTGGGGCGCACCTCAAACAGCAGCCTGCGGGGTGCGGGGTCACGGGCAGCAGCGGGTCACACAAAAACAGGCTGATTGGCGGAGCAAATGGCGTTTTGAAACCAGGCTCGGCGCCAGAGCTCGTCGTGGTGCACGCGACAGCTTGCTGACATTTGACATGCAGAGTGCTGAAATTGTCCCATTTCACGGGGCTGGGCCCCGCCGCTTGACCATGTCATGCTCAAAGCAGGCCGCGTGCTCACATCAATGCTCGTCATCGTCGAATGCGAGTCCGTTCCGCAACGAGCGCCCGGACGAGCACCCGCGCACCTGCTGCTCTCCAGTGTCGGCTCCCCGTCCCTGTTGGTCTTGAGGCGCTCCCCGGCCTCCACCAGCAGCCAGGGGGCGCGCAGCATCAGGATGCCACCCTGGGCCTCGGCCAGCCCCCTTGCCGCCACGTCTGCCGCCAGGCGCGCCGCCTGCACACGCGTGCGCGCGCGGGGATGTGTGTGATACATGCGGGCACGCATTCAATGACGGGCCGACACGTGTAAAAGACAGTTGTCAGCTCGCTCCATCTGGATCTCTGCTGCCGCCCACCCGCCACGCGGTCGCCTGAATGCCTGCGGGCACTCAACACCCGCTGCACCCTCTCCTGTTGTTCACCTGCTGCCCAGGCGTCCCGAAGAGCACCGTGAAGTCCAGCAGGCCGTCGTCCAGCAGCGCGTGCGGGCACACCTGATCAAGCAGGCAGCGTTAAGGCGGCGGGCGTCGGCAGTGGGAGCGCAGGTCAGCAGCTGGTCGGCAGCTGGGCCGCGCTTGCACGGGCGGGGCGGATGGCCCGCCGGCTGAGCCTCTCTCGGGAAAAGCGAGGCTGGGGACGCCGGCTCTCCCATGTTGAAACAGCGCAAAGCCGGCACAGTCTTGTTCACAATAACAGTGCAGTGCTCCACCTCACCCTGCTGCCCAGACCCGTGACCCTCACGAGCACCCTGCAGCCCCGGCGGCCTCAAACCCTGCTCCATTGCACAGGCCCGCCCCCCCCCTTCTCACGTTGAACATGCGCCCCATCTGCCGGCTCTGGCCTGCGACCAGGGCAAGGAGGTCGCCCCTCAGCCGCCCCAGCCCGGCGCCCGGGGAGCCGCCGCCGGGCCTCTCCGCGCCGGCCGCCTCGAGGACCTGGTGCAGCTCCTCCTTCCCGCCCCCCACCTCGGCCTCGCCATTGCTCTTGCTGCCTTTGCCATCGAAATCATCCGCAAATGGTGCGGAAAGAATGGCCTTGTCCTCACGCTCATGCTCCGACTCGCCCGCCTGGTGCCTCCTATTAGCTCGCTCGTCGCGCGCGGCGGCCCCCAGCTGCGGCGCGCCCGGCGCCCGCGCGGCGCCCCCGCCCCCGCCGCCCCTGGCTTGCGG